AAAGAACAAGCTGGGCCTTCCAGGCCTTCCGGGTCTGCTACGGAAGAAAAAGAAAAAGATGATAGAATGTTTGAATGTAATATTTGTCTTGATACAGCCAAGGATGCGGTTGTTAGCATGTGTGGACATTTATTTTGGTATGTCATTTATCATAATTTTCTTATAGATTGTTAATATTCAAATTTGTAATAATCTAACATAACACACATTTATATTTATTTATAATTTATATTTTTATTATTAAAAATAATTATTTATTATTTGTATATATATATATATATATATATATATATATTTATATTTGTATATATTTTGTATTATATATAGTTGGCCTTGTTTACATCAGTGGCTAGAAACACGTCCAACACGACAAGTATGTCCAGTTTGCAAAGCTGCTATTAGCAAAGAGAAAGTCATTCCATTGTATGGACGTGGAGCAACAAAACATGAAGATCCAAGGTTTGTCGTTAATCGAATTAATTATAATATTTGTTCAATCTTGAATAAATAAAAGAAATTAAATAAATTATTATTACAGAAATAATGTTCCACCTCGTCCGGCTGGACAAAGATCGGAACCTGAAACCAATTTAGGATTTTCTGGATTTGGATTTGGTGATGGTTCATATATGTCTTTTGGCATTGGAACATTTCCATTTGCATTTTTCACATCAACATTTAATTTTGGAGAGACCCGACCAAGTGCTGGTATAATTGAAATTTCTTAGCCTTTATACAATAATAGTATATATATATAATTGTATGAATTTACAATTAATATTATTTTTTCTTTTTTCTTTTTTCTTTTTCCGGTTTTTTTTTTTTTTTAATAGCTCCACGAGGCACTCCACAATATGAAGAAGAGCATTTCTTATCTAAGATATTTCTATGGTTATCAATGATATTCATTTGCTGGCTGTTAATGGCATAACACTTTTTTAAGTCTCGCTGTATGTCTCGTAATTTTTAATATTATTCGGTCAGTCCATTATACGTGTGCTCATACATAATTTTCCCCTATTTGTAATAATCTTTGTTAATCGTATTATAACTATACCCCTGCTTGGATAAATAAATATATAAATAGCTACTCTATTATCTTTTCATTTTTGTTTTGTTTCTTTTTGTTTTTTTTTGTTTTTCTTTTTTTGTTTTTATACTTGATGACACACGTTGCTCAAAATTTTTTTTTTCAAATTGTCCAAGCTTGATTATTATTTTGTCTACTATTTTAATTGTTTTGAAAGTTTATTATATACATGTGTATATGTAATTATTACTAATTTGCAAAATATTATTTGACGTTATCTATTATAGAAAGTATTCTGAGTGTGCTTTTGGCATCATGTGGTATATGCGCGTTTAACATTAAATAAATCTTGTTGCGTTAAATGCAACATAGACAAAAGTACTATCATAGTAGTACATTCCGAATACATGCCTTTCTTATCTACTTTTCTTTTTTTTTTTTTTTTTAGAATAAGAATCTGATAAAAACGACATAGCTTTCATGAATAACAGCCAGTCTTATTATATTGGATTGCATATGTATATAATCTATAAAATCAAAATTATATTAAAGTTAATTCAATATCATCAATATGTAAGAATATTAATATTAATACAGTTATATGACATATATAATATTGTAATATATTATGGATATAAACATAAAATTGAAGTGCAAAAAATTTTTTTTGATTACTATTTCCTTCAATACCATTTATCCATTTTTTATTTCTATCCAATGACGATTTTATTTGTTTACAATTAAAGTTGTAAAAGTATTATCTAAAAAATCTCACTTTTATAAATTCATTTATTGATTGGTAAGTAGTACATAAAAAAGCAACAAATGTTGCAAAATATTAAATGCAACAAATTATTTGTAATATTTGTAAATTGTAATGTACGATCTAACTAAAACTACTTACATATTATTTAATAAAAACAATAAACGTAAAATATATATCCTTTTATACTGCACTGTCTTTATGAATAAAATTGTTGCGTTATAATTGGTTAATTGTGTTGTTAGTATACTTGCATAAATGCACTATTTATATAACCTACATTTGTTCAGCTATGTTCTAATAAATTTAATCATAAAATTGATAGAATATTATTCCAACAAAAGAGCCCAATTATGCCACAATGAACAATTTTGTTATTTCATGGTTCTAGTAATTATATCACAGGTTGTAGCTCCACAAGGGTAAATATATGCTTCCCTTGCCTACGTGTTAATGTGTCAATAAAAAATAGCAATTTGTGCATTGAAAAATCTTTATGTAACTATTATTATGTGCAAAGTTACTATTATCGCTAAACTCTATTGTCTCTCTAATAGTATATATTGATAAATTATTTTCTTTCAATATAGAATTGAAGAAAAACATTTCAAACATTTTGTTTATTGTTCATTTAGCTTAATAAAACGTATAAGAAGCTTTCTAATCGTATTTAATTAGAAATGCTACTCAAAATTATATATTGATTTCTTTCAAGTGCATAAAAATTGAATAATACAACTATTTGAGTCTTTATATTTCATCCTTTTGAGGATGAGACTTTGTGAAACCTTTAGATAAAAGTAAATCATTACACTCTTGACGTGTAAGGCTTGCCAAATTTAATCTCTCCATTTCCTATAATATTTCAAAACTGTTAAATATTTTCATTTTAAATTCATATTTTATTATAATATAATATAAGACATACCTCCTCATTGTCATCATAAAGGACAAGTTCTGGGCTTGCACCTTGAATATGCTTGAATTCAACATTGTTACTGTTTCTAACATTAAGAACATATATAATTATAAATTTGTAAATTCTCAAATATCATAATGATTCTGTTAATATTATGGATGATATTGTTTATGCATTATTTTGTATAAAAATAAAACAATATATATACATTACGGAAACATGATGAAGTTTAGTGTAATATACAAATGAAGTTTACATAATAAAGATGATTTGACATAATTAAATATTTACAATAATTATTTACATAAATTATACAAGCGTATTATTGAACATCACACTTTGAACATCACATTCTTCTCCGTAATTGTAAGATTTATGAAATATTAAATATAAATAATAAATAACTTTAATTGATTAAATATAAAAGGATACTATTGTGGTACATCCTCGAATATAAATTTCTTGACATCCGGAAGTCTATTCAAGGAACATCCACTACAACTCTATGTAAAGATATGAAATATACGTAATGATTAGTATGATATTTAATAAATATGAGATAATTAATCGATTGTTAATGAAAATATTTATACCTCGATTGTTGCAAATGTATATTTACTTTTAGCTGATACTGCAGCTATAGTTAAACCCAAAAGTAACAGGGAAATAAAATTGACAATCGTAGAAGGTGCCATGTTTATTTTTAGAGTGCGAAGAAAACGGAAGTAGGGCACTCCTGTGATTTTCTGCGCTATATATGCATTTTTAAAATCTGTTTCCTCTTATCCGATATAAACTTCGAATAAAGTTTAAATTATGATAGAATACAATTTTAGATTATTATAGTCGTAAAGTAGAAATTTTTTTATTATAAATTTGAAAAAACTTTATTTATGTGTTTCTATTGCATACACGTAACAATATATATATGATAACACATAGGTTATATTCGATAAAAAAAAAAAAAAAAAAAAAAAAAAAAAAAAGAAAGAAGAAAGAAAAAAACAAAAGAAAAAAGATTTAAATTGTTAGAGAAAATAAATTGAATAAGTAAAAATTATTTCGAATTAACTATTTACGTAGTAAGACAATGTAACAAAAAAAAAGAAATATTACGTGTACGATAATGGATTGAAAGAAAAGAAAATTTGTAGATGTTTCTGTAATTTTTTTTAAACGACAAAGTGCCACTCCGTTCATTCATATTATTAAGAAATATATATATAATATATGATAACGATAGTTGAGTCAAAGAATTACTTATAAAGGAAGAAGCTACTGTTTGTAAAGTTAACTTTTTAAATTTCGGTTTTTTTTCCTTAGGATGGAATACTAATTCACAATTTACAAATATTTATTATATATATATAAAAGATATAGGATATTTTTATAAATAACGCAGAAATAATAATAATGAAAAAATAAATTTTAGAATCAATCTAGTTCGTCAACGCGCATAAGTCCTGCGTAGTTGATCGAACTCTTATGTCGAAAAAATGGCGCTCTCTTGTGCGAGTAAGTTTTTCTTATTTTTATTTTTTTTTATGACTTTATATATTAAATATATATAATATATATCAACTTTTATTCGATCATCTTCGAATAAAACGATATATTGTATTAGAAAATAATTTCTAAAAGATTTATATCATATATTGTTGATAGTAATATGAACATAACCTAAAAAGATCGCGCGTTACCGTATTCTAATAATACGATAAACATGCATTTACAGTCTCCAACGAAGTACCGGAACATCCTGTTTTATCTCCTGTATCGGGTTCTATATTTGAAAAACGTCTCATTGAGAAATATGTTACTGAAAATGGAGTGGATCCCATCACTGGCAAAGAGTTGACCATAGATCAATTAATTGATGTCAAAAGTATGTATTTGGTCGATGTAATTTTATTAATTATATTGTATGTCGATCATTCATACAATATTTTTTTATTTACAGCGACTCCTATTGTAAAACCTAAACCACCGAGTGCCACATCTATACCTGCTATTTTAAAAATACTGCAGGACGAATGGGACGCTGTTATGCTACATTCATTTACTCTTAGGCAACAATTACAAACAGCTCGACAAGAATTGTCTCATGCTTTATATCAACATGATGCGGCTTGTCGAGTAATTGCTAGATTAACAAAAGAAGTTACAGCTGCCCGTGAGGCTTTGGCTACTCTTAAACCACAAGCTGGAATTGTTCAAGCAACAGTTATTCCACAACCGGTATGTTACTACAATTATTGTTATTGTTATTAAAAATTAGATATATATTAAAAAAATATTTCATTGAATTACAGGCTGTAGCTGTAGAAGCCGGCGGTACAGCTGCTCAGCCAATGGAACAAGCTGGTATTACTGATGATGTTATTCAAAAACTACAAGAAAGAGCAACGGTTCTTACTCAAGAAAGGAAACGTCGTGGACGTTCCATTCCTGAAGATCTTCTTCCTCAAGATAGCATCAGAGCGTTCCAAACTCTTGCATCTCACCCTGTATGATTTTATCTTTTTTTTTCTCTCTCTACATGCATATATGAATATATCATAATATTTTATCTTGTTTCAGGGTCTCCATTCTGCTAGTGTACCTGGAATTTTGGCATTGGATATTCATGGTGCAGATACAAGTAAAATTTTAACTGGTGGTGCTGATAAAAATGCAACTGTATTTAATAAGGATACAGAACAAGTTGTAGCTATCTTAAAAGGCCACACTAAGAAGGTGCATTATTGCATAATTTTATATATATATATATATATATATATATATATATGTATAATAAATGCTATTTAATATATTAAAATTCTAGGTAACTCGAGTAATTTATCATCCCGAAGAAGATATAGTGATGACTGCATCACCTGATACTACAATTAGAGTATGGAATGTAGCAACGAGTCAAACGACTTTATTACTGAAGGCTCATGATGCTCCAGTAACTGGATTATCATTGCATCCAACTGGAGATTACCTATTAAGTTCATCATTAGATCAACATTGGGCATTTTCTGATATTCGTACTGGAAGATTATTGACCAAGGTACTTATCATCCTAATATTCAATAAAACAATGAAGTTCAATAAATTTTATACAATAATTTTATTCAATTATTTCTCTAGGTGGCTGGTCAAGCTGGTCAGCCATTAACGACAGCACAATTTCATCCAGATGGATTAATTTTCGGTACTGGTACGGCTGATTCTCAAGTAAAAATCTGGGATTTGAAGGAACAATCAAACGTGGCGAATTTCCCTGGTCATTCTGGTCCGATCACAGCTATTAGTTTCTCAGAAAATGGTTATTATTTGGCTACAGCTGCTGAGGATTCCTGTGTCAAACTTTGGGATTTACGAAAATTGAAAAACTTCAAAACATTACAATTGGAGGAATCTTATGAAGTAAAGGACATATGTTTTGATCAAAGCGGTACCTATCTAGCTGTAGCTGGAACGGATGTTAGGCAAGTCTTTATTATATTTCATATAATACAATAGTGTTAACATAATCAATTGTCTGCTTATGTTTAGTTTTAGTTTTATTTTTTTATTTTTTTTTTTTTTACAGAGTGTATTTGTGTAAACAATGGCAAGAATTGAAAGTATTGAATGATCATACAGCAACAGCGACAGGTGTACGTTTTGGAAAACATGCACAGTACATAGCATCCACTAGTATGGACAGAACATTAAAACTTTATGGTCTCCCTTAAATCAAATTTATAGGAATGTGACAATTATTTTAAGAACTTATTGTAGACTTATACATTATTTCTACATGAGTTTATTAAGACATGCCCAATACTATTTTGTTTTGTTAGGCATCGTCGATTAATTTAGATTATCTCTTAATTTAATATACACTTCCTATGTATGGTAATAGTTTAAAAAAAATTTCGTAATTGAATGCGATTATATATAATGACTTCTTTTGGAAGTAATTAAAGGACAATATGATTGAAAGAAATAATTTAATAGGATGTTCAACAAAATATGCTTGTTTTAATAATGTAAAAAAAAAAAAAAAAAAAAAAAAAAAAAAATCAAATCAATCATAACATAATAAAATTTTTATACAACATTTATTTTATTTTATTTTACTTTTTTTTTCTTTTTTTTTTCTTTTTTCTTTTCTTTTCTTTTCTGTTCTTTTCATATTTATTTCTTCCCGTGAAAATAGATGTCCATTTTATAAAATTTAATATAATTTCATTGGTGGCGCTGATGATAGTTGCCTACTGATAAACTAACCTAATATGTTCCTTTGTCCTCGATAGTGAAGCTTGAATCGAATTAACAACAATGGCCGTTGTGGTTGGCTGTCAGTGTAAAACTTTCGTATATTATGTATCGAATGACAGTTTTTTGCCGATTCAAAATTTCTGTTGTTATATCACATTGATCAATTTGTAAATATATAAATTCAATAGAATCGGTGACAGATGATGATTTTTTAATATACTCAAGTTTCGCGGTATCAACTAGTTATCATCAATGACCAGCTGACAATGTTTTTCAATTAGTATAATTCAGTGAGATACTCGTGGTTATTCGAAGATGTTTAAAACAGAAGAATCCTCACGAGGTAGCTTCCTTCAGCAAACAAAAGCAGCGAGAGAAGAAAGAGCTCATGAGAAAGATAGGGAAGCTGCTGTCATTGTTATTCAAGCGTATGTTAGAGGATGGTTGGCTCGTATCAGATTTACCAAAAAGATTCTGTGAGTTTTTATCATTCTATTCTATGTATTCTCCTGATGTTATCGGATTTATATAAATCAATATATTAATATTAATTTATGACATTAACTATATTAATTGATTATATCAAATTAATATTCATAATATAAGAATGATTCTATTTTTAGAGAGGAATTCGATATCAATTTTCCTGATGATTGTACAAAGCTGGATGCAAACATAGAGTTGCAGCTTGCGTTGCATATATACAGGGTTACTTCTAGATTTTTGATTATTTATAAGAAGGAAAGGGATCAAGAAAGAATAGAAAAATTGTGTAGGTGTGTATAAAGAAATAAATTTTATATTTAATATAATTATTTGATAAGTATTATAAAGATTATTAGAGAATGATATAATATTTGTTTGATATATCAATTGTTTTTCTTTTTTTTTCATTTTTTTCTCTTTTTTCTTTTTTTTTTTTTTTTTTTTTTTTTTTTCTTTAGATACCTTGTGCAAACTCTTCAATCAGAGTCCCCAAAGTTCTCATATGTAGGTGTGGCTCTTAACAAGGATCACTACATATCATGGATATTGCAAATGAAAACAATTTTAAATCATTGTCTCATTGGCTTGGACAGCCTTAAACCTGAAATAAGTTCTGACCATACGTCCATCCTATTGAGATTATATACATTAGTTAGTTTTACGTCAACAGCATCATGGGCAATATTAAAGGTAGAGAGCATGGAAAAACTTAGAACTGGTATGAGCCAATTATGTGCAAACATAATGGGGCACCTTGTTAATAATGGCTTTTATGCTATTATGCAGGTAACTATATTTATATATATATATATCTTGATAATTTTAACAATCTCTAAATTTTTTTTATCAATAAACGAATTATTTTTTATGTTATAGACATTACTAGTAAAAGGATTAGGTAGAGCTGAAGTTTCATCGATATCAGTTGCACTCTCTGCAGCTGTGACGTTAACTTTAAGACCATTGATATCCTCTCAAATGTCAGATAAACTAGTATCATTATTTTTAATTAATATTTTTAGTGTCCCTGCTTTGGTTTATCACTTGAACATGTTATGTCCGGAGGTATAATCGTCTTTTTGTTTAGAGATATATCCCTAAAAAAAATTATTACATGTATATATATATATAAATATATATATATATATATAGTGTATGCATAATCATGCTGATGCAATTTTTCAGTGCATTTCATCCTTTATTATGCACAATTTATTTGCAAGAAGTTTGGAACTGTTAAATTCAGAACAAAATTTGAGGATAGTTTTTAATGCACTGGAGGGTAGTTATGCACTTTGTTTATTATCAAATTTGATACAGTTAGCAAATATTGAAAGAGAAGAAGTCCTGAGGGATTCATATTTTCCTTCATTCACGGTAAGGCAAAATCAAATGATAGATTATTTATATTATAAATTTTAATATTTATATATTATCATTATTTATAGTTTGTTGTTACAAAAATGCTGGAGGCCTGTCAACAGTATGTAGTGGCCAAACAAAGTAACATAACTCATTGGCATCCAATTCTTGGTTGGTTTGCACAATCAGTGGATACTCCTTTACAAGAAGCTATTCCTTATGTGACATCACAATTAGTTTGCCTATGGACTGGTAGAATTGTCTTACAATTAATTGGTAAGCTATAATTAATTTTAATATATATGTATATATATTATATATATATATATATTTAATAATAATACTATTATTATCTTATTTTTTCAAGGTCAACCATTAACCGAACTTGTTGGTAAGGAAGCACCACCACAATTGGAACAACAAAGTACATCTATAAGTACTAATATTTTCCGTCGGGCATTTTTGGAAGCACGCACAAATAGAAATAATAGCAATAAAAATTATAGAAAATTAGGAAGTCCCGAATGTACCAAAATTGCCCTGATCTGTTCTATGTACCAAACTGCTCTTCATACTCTTACACAAATGAAGCAAGATATATTAACGGGTATATCATAATAGAAACAAATATGTGTACGTTATAATTATTTTATATATTTTATTTTTCTTTTTTTTTTTTTTTTTTTTTTTTTTTTTATTTTTCTAGGACTTTGTTATCAAGACAAAATTTTGTATCATATGTGGTTATTTTTGGGAACATTAGGACCACACTGTGGTTTAAAAGCATTTTTAGATCACTTAGCGGCAAATACAAAATGTACAGCACCAGAATTTCAAATGTTGATATTGTTTTGCGATTGTATGACACATTATGTTACGTGAGTATATTAAATGTGTTTCATATATTATTTATTTAATAATTAAATTATATTAATAACTTAATGTTATTATTTTATTAGTATATTAGACGACATGGAGATGTACGAACAGCAAGATCCCTTTAAATTATCGGATTTTATAACAATGTCATTTTTTTTGAATCAATTTTTGTACAGAGCCGTTCTTAATAATCTATTCGGTGAGTATGTCAAATTTCCATTGGAAAACTTGTATTAGAATATATATATATATATTTTTTTTTTTTTTTTTTTTTTTTTTTTTTTTTTTTAATCGAAGAAAGAAAGAAGTTTCGTAGCTACGTGCTAAAGTTTTAGATGTTACAGATGTGAAAACAGTATCTAACAATCCGTTATTTACATCACTACATACACTTTTAATGGCGATTTATCGTCGGGATTGTAGAAGGCCTTTTTGTCCGGAAGGACATTGGTTGGCGAAGTTAAGTATATATATATATATATATATGAAGATCGGTAGAATGCTTAATTATATTTTTATCTATAAATTTTTTTCTACATTTTTTATCCCTTCAAAAAAATAGGAAGTACGAGTATCTGGTTTCTTAGCTGATTTAGAAAAGAGAAGAGGTGGTGCAGCACTTTTGTTATCAAAAATGCCGCATGTCATACCGCATTCCGAAAGGGTGGTATTATTTCGAAAGCATGTTGCCAACGAAAAAGCTGTTATGGGTTTAACAGAAAGTGCTTGCAACAGTCCACCAACTACGTTAATAGTTGTTCACAGGTAATAACTATCACTATATATAACTATATTGGGTATATAAAAATCATCGGAGGGAGGAGGGTGGCGGTTGAAGAAAAAAAATGAAAGAAAAAGAAAAGAAAATTAATTAACATAATCAAAATATTATACAGAACACGTATAGTAGAGGATGGTTATCGGCAATTAGCTATGTTACCTCCTCAAGCATTGAAAGGTGTAATCAGAGTACGGTTCGTGAACGAACAAGGTTTAGCAGAAGCTGGAATAGATCAGGATGGTGTATTTAAAGAATTTTTAGAAGAAACGATAAAAAGGGTTTTCGATCCGTCATTAAATTTGTTCAAAGCTACAAGTGAAAATCGTCTTTATCCTTCTCCAACTTCCTCAATGCAGGACAATCATTTACAATTGTTCGAATTCGTTGGACGGATGTTAGGCAAGGCAGTTTACGAGGTAAATAATTATAGTTATATAATAGAATTTGTCTTTTAACGAGATAAAGTAAATTATTATGTTAATTTTTAGGGAATCGTTGTGGATGTACCATTTGCGTCATTTTTTGTTTCACAATTTTCTGGACAAGCAGGAGGAACTTTATACAATTGTTTGGACGAGCTTGCTTCGTTGGATCGAGATCTTTATCGTAGTTTAACATTGGTTAAACATTACAAAGGCGATGTTAGACAATTAGAATTAACATTCTCATTAGATGAGGATGTTATGGGAAAATTAGTAACCCACGAATTGATACCTGGTGGACGTGCCGAGGCAGTTACTAATCAAAATAAAATTCGTTATATACATAGAATGGCACATTTTAGAATGCACACTCAAATAAAGGAACAAACGGCAGCTTTTATAAAAGGATTTTGTTCTATAATCAATCCCGATTGGTTATCATTATTTTCAACGCCAGAAGTAAGAACAGGAATGATAATTATTTTTTAAATAGAAATACTTGTTGATGAGAAGATCTTTTTAAATATATACGAGTGTGTATGTATATATATATATGTGTATACATATATATATATATATGTATGTATGTTTGCGTTTCTTTTAGTTACAAAGATTAATTTCGGGTGATAACGTCCCGTTGGATCTACGTGATCTACGTAGGCACACGCAATACTATGGTGGTTTTCACGACAGTCATAGAGTAGTATGTTGGTTGTGGGACATCCTCGAGAAAGACTTTACCGAGGAAGAAAGAGGGTTGTTTTTGAAGGTACGCTTACGATGATAACAATTGGATATTCTATCCAATTAAAAATATTTATAAAAGTATATATGTATAATGTCATCGTGTTTTTTTTTTTTTTTTTTTTTTTTCATTAACAACGATAGTTCGTCACAAGCTGTTCGAAATCACCCTTGCTTGGATTCGCTCATCTGGAACCAAGATTTTCAATACGTTGCGTTGAAGTTGGCGATGACGAGGATACAGGTGATACAATTGGTATGCTCTCTCAAATTGTTTTTCTTTTTTATTATTTAATGTCTGAATAATTTTCATGAAGAATTTTTCTTTTTTTTGTTTTTTTTCTCCCTTTGAAAATAATAATAATACGGTAATACGTTCGATCATGTTAATTAGGCAGTGTGATACGTGGATTCTTTACGATACGTAAAAAGGATCCTCAAATTCGATTGCCTACCTCCTCTACGTGTTTCAATTTATTGAAACTACCAAATTACCAGAAAAAGAGTACGCTTCGTGAGAAGTTACGTTATGCTGTGACCAGTAATACAGGTTTCGAGCTTTCTTAATCTATGAGCTGTTGATGGAATGAAAGCAGCACAATCAGGGAACTATAACTCGAAACGCAGAGCGAAAATCGAAAGTGATCGAGCGGTGCCTAACTGATATACCCCGTGTTTCAATATATGACATGACCTATATAAAAGAGGATATATATATATATATATATATATATATATATATGTATATATATATATCAAAATGAACGAAAATGTACAGTAAACATACATAGGTAGTTAAGCCTAATAAGTTGTAAGAGTGGTAATTTCTATAGTATAATTATTTGCACAAATTTCATATGATATTAGAAGAAGATGAAGGAATGAAGATTTTAAAAATATTTTCCTTTTTTTTTTTTTTTCTTTTTCTTTTTTTTGCCAGTTATATAAATCTTTCCATATTGATAAGTAATGTAACAGAGAGTATATAGAGCCGAACATAAATATGCATATATTCTCTCGTGTTGTTCCTTTATATATATGTATATATACACACATACGTATACATATATATATATATATATATATATATATATATATATATATATATATATATATATATATACTATATTATATGTGTATATATATATATATATATATATATATATATATATATATATACTATATTATATGTGTATATATATATATATATATATATATATATATATATATATATATATATATATATATACACATATAATTAGCATTACGCGATATTTAGTTAAGTAATTATTATAATTACTATATGTTTTTATAATCAATCTATTGCGTTTCATCGATTGTAATTAATGGAAAATTATGCGATTTATAGAACGATTTATGTATACCTTATATGAGCTTATAAATTATTAATCGTTCGCTTTTTAGTCGATAGTAGTAAAATAATAGAATTATTATGGAAATGTTTTACTTATTTGTATACATTAAATGTTAAATCATTTTGCCAAAACAGAATCATTGATGCCGTGTGAAAAAAGAAGATATACACTATATGAACAATTTCGAAGAATAAAGATTTAATGATGAAAGGGAAAATTGAAAAAAAGAAAAAAAAAATAAGAAAAGATAAAGAAAAAAAAAATAAGAAGAAGAAGAAGAAAAAAAGAAAAACAAAAAAAAAAAGAAAGAAATACAATGGATGCTCTATTTTGAAGAGAGCTATTTTCTCGAGAAATTTTTGTACAAATTTTTGAAAAAAATTGTTGCGTATTGTACAAAACGCGTTGTGTAGTTTTACGCGGACGTAATCGTCGTCGTCGTCTTTGTCGTCGTCTTCGTCGTCGTCATCTTTATTGTGGATGAAATCGGCAATGTTTGCACACTGAATTTCCTATATAAGATCTCTTTCACTCTCTCTTTTGAAATTTATTCGAGATTCACGCGATATAAATCAATTTTTTATGATATTATACACAAGAAGATACACAATAGAAATATATTTAGCATTTCGATTTTTTTTTAAATAATGAATTAATCAATGGGAGACTTGTTTAGGAAATTTAGTAAGACCAAAGATAAAATAGAAATCTATTTAGCGCTTAGAAATACGCGTTCTGCGCTTTCATATTTTCTTACGTAATCATATATACATATATGCAAATATATATATACACAGATACATACACACACATATACACACGCACACATATATGTATGTATATATATATATTTTTAGCAACAACATTTTCGATCTCTATTCACATTTTGTAACGCATTAGAAAAGTACAATTAAAATTGCAGTTATAATGATTTGTTTAATATTTATATATTAAAAACATTGTTATACTTTATATATATATATATATATATATATATATATATATATATATATATATAGAGAGAGAGAGAGAGAGAGAGAGAGAGAAAGATTGATATATAGAATTCATTTGATTTAATTTGTGCAATATTTATGTAATATTTGGAAAAGATACAGATTTTGCAATACAGTGAATAGAGAAATGTTGTATGTAAAAAGAGATACATAATCGATGTTTAATGTAATATTTTTTTTGGAGATTGTAAGAAAAAATATTTCATAGGATCAAGAAACAAAAGATTTGGGTTAGATTACATCTTCGATAAATTGTATTTATCTAATTATTCTAATTTAATGCGTTTCTAAATTAATGCGTTATTTGATACACGATCCGTGTATCAAATCTGGAACAATAGGTTGAAAGATATAAATGGATATATTTAATTTTTTCTTACGATAGCTACAAATATATATATATATATATATATATATATATTCGTAGAGTGAAAAAGGAGAAAAAGATTATATACGCTTTGTAAATCGGCCGTTTCATTGAAAACGTATAGATAGATAAAGTTTTTTAAGTGTGTTTCGTCGTACCAATGGAGAAAGTAAGAAAAGAAAGAGGGAAGAAAGAAATGAAGGAAAAAAAAGAAAGAGGAAGAAGGGAAGGAAGAAGGAAAGGAAAGTAAATGACGTGTCGATCTAAAAATATCTTTGGAAATTATACCGGTAATCATGTAAATATTTACAAAATCTAAAAATCTTCGTTATTTTCAATTTGTCCCGGTATCATCTCCAAATGTCCTATTAGAAACTTATTTCCTTATATTGTCCTATTTTGAACCAAATCGTATATAATATTATTTATTTATTTATTTATTTATTTATGTATTTATTTATTTACTTGTTCTTAGAATTGGAGAACGGTAAGCGAATGAAAAAGATTGAACAATAAGAGATCATACGATTAGAAGAAAAGTGAAACATATATAAGATTATTTTGGTCGTAAAAAAAAAAAAAAAAAAAAAAAAAGAAAAAATCTTTTTTCTTTTTCCTCCTTTTATGTTGTTTTTGTTTTTTTTTGTTCCTCTGAGAATGAGAGTGGGAAAGAGAAAGAGACAGAAAGAGAAAGAAAGACAAGGAAAGGAAGAAAGAAAGAAAGAAAGAAAGAAAGAAAGAAAGAAAGAAAGAAAGAAAGAAAGAAAGAAGGAAAGAAAGAACACGCGTTTGAACAGTCGGGAACAAAGTACGAGAAGGTGGCGCGTCGTTGATTAGATGCGCGCGCATAGTCACGTGACCGTCGGTTTTACGGTTGGCCGGCGCTGTCGGCGTTGCGCTTCGCCCCCGCCACGTTCAGTGGCTAGCGAGCATCGGCTGCGAAAAGACGTACGTTTCGTTCGTCCCCTCCACGCGACGATCTCTCTTCCACCGCGGCTACCACGAGAGACTCTCCTCCTTTTTTTTTCCCTTCGGTCACCCTGACTAAAACTCTCTCTCTCTCTTCCTTCAAACTTCTCACCAACGGTTTGATTTTTTTCCACGGTCCTATCACGTTGTCGTTTATTTTCTATCACCTTTTTTTTTTTCCTTTCTTCTATTAATTTCCACTCGTCCCTTCCGTCATCGCCCTTTTCTCGTAAACGGGCGCGGGCGCGCGCGCTCGTCCTGCTGTACTGTCTCTCTCTCTCCCTTTCTCTCTTTCATCTCTTTCATCTCTTTCCTTCTTACCCTCCCTCCCTCCCTCCCTCCTACCCGTCCTTCCCTCCTTCCACCCATCCTCTCTCATTCTCTCTTTTTTCTCTCTCCCCTATTCTTTCGGTTTATCTCACGCGTGTGTTATATCTATCCTCTGTGTGTATATATCTCTCTCTGTGTATGTGGTCAGTGTACGCGCGTGCAAGACAACATAGCACGACTGTCACAAGCGTGCTGCTGCTCTTCTTCGCCCGTTCGTTCGTATGTTCGTTCGGTCGTTCGGTCGGTCGGTCGGTCGGTCGGTGCGCTCGTTTTGTCGTGTATCCTATCAGCCACAGTAGCAGCAGCAGCAATACCCGTCGCAATCGTAGCCGTTGAAGAATCAAAATCGAACATTGTCGAGAATGTCCGGACGCGTCGTTTCACGTCTCTGAATATATTTTTCTCCTATTGTGTATCGTATACATAATATATATATATACATATATATATATATATATAGATATATATTGTATATATATGTGACGGTCTCTCTCCTCATCTCTATGTTTTCGTGTTCAATGTGTAAGTAAGCACTCTCTTTCTCTTTTTCTCTGGCACCTACGGTGCGTCGTTTAAACGACGACGAACGACAAGTTCGGAAGATCCAACGACGATCGCTTCGCACCCGATTGGCGCGCGTGTTCTACGTGCATGGAACATAACCTCCAAAGTCAAGTGAAACAAAGAGAGAAAGAGAGAAAGAGAGTAAGAAAGATAGATAGTTAGAAAAAGAGAAACAGAGAAGAGAGAGAGAGTGAGTGAGTGAGTGAGTGAGAAAGAGAGAGAGAGAAGAGCGTAAATGATAAAATAGCGATGGGGTCGCGCTGATTCTCTAACGGGAGATTCTCAAACAAAAGAAAGTAACAGGATAACGAATGTTATCGGAAAGAGGGAAAACACGGTTGATCGTGTATGAACGTCCGTGTTAATAAAAGAGAAAGAAAGAAAGTATAAAGAAGAATAAGAAGAAGAAACGAAGGGAAAGAAAGAGAGAAGGAAGAGAGAGAGAGAGATAGAAAGAAAGAGGGAGAAAAAAGAGAAATAGAACGAGATAGAGACGAGACGAAAGATGCGGGAGAAGGTTCCTTTGTGAGAGAGAACGTCCTTGCGAGGTGAGGCTCGCACCACGTGCTTCGTTAGAGTGGCGAAGAGGAGGAGGAGGAGGAAGAGGAGGAGGAAGAAGAAGAACGACGACGACGACGCGTCGGCGACGTCGCGTAGAGGTCTTCTTGGTATAGAGAATAGCGGCACGGTGGCCCGTCGGTTGAGAAGAGGAGGAGGAGGTGGAGGTGGCGGTGGTGGTGGAGGTGGTGGTGGGGGCGACGGCAGAAGAGGAAGGAGGAGGAGGAGGGGTAGGGTGGAAGAGGGTGGAGGTGAAGGTGGTGGTGGCGGTGGTGGTGGTGGTGGAGGAGAAGGAGGAGGAGGAGGTGAGGAGCTTTGATGGCAGTAGTTGGGCCCAGCCGGCACTCGCGGGTGTCCATGAGCGTGTCTATGTCGCTGATGCAGGGGGGCGGGGCGGGGACGACAGGTGGAGGCGGGACGACGGGGCCCGGGGCCCACCCGGGCCAGGCGGTACTCGCGGCCGCCGCCGCTGCCGCCGCCGCCGCGGCGACTCAGCCGACCCCCACCTATTATCATCCCGCCGCACCCGCGCCACCCCCACCACCACCGCCCGCGCAGGATCCCGTCCAACCCGACAGA